CAGAGGCAATTCTGGCTACTTTTGTAGCTAGATTTCACGGCTTACTCTATCTAGAAAGTAAACATGGTCATCTGATTCTATAGTATTATTCCGGATTGGGGGATATTTTACCCAGGCATAGTGACGAAGGAGTGGAAAAGGCCGGAGGGTATGTACATCTTGTTTCCGGAAACCATATTTGGTCGAGTGCAGACCACACAACAGAAGTGACGACGGCCTTCACAAAATGTAACTTTTTCCGCCAATAAAATGATTAGCCGGTAGCAGTTGTATTCTATCAATTGTCACTCAATATCAATTGCAGTTGTATTCTATTTATCAGTTGTCACCCACAACTACCATTTACCAATTACCAATTATCGCTATGAATCAGTACTTACCAGATTGCCTTTGAGGCCATCGTCCCTTGTGGGGTGTGGTCTGTACTCAACGTGAATATGTTTCTTGGGAACAGAGGGTTGCATCCATGGGGTACCGTGTAGTGCTTCCTCATCAGCAATCAACCGCAAACAGATACGAGTCTGACTCACTGCAGAACCTCGGTAGCCTTCCTGCACTTGAACAGCTTAAAGAAAGACTTCACTCACCTAACGGCGCTTCTGCTTCATTTACCGATTCTGGTGCTCGAGAAAACGATCCCAAATCGTCAGTGGTGAAAATGTCTTCCTGAATTCAAGCGCAGTATCCTTGAAAAGTAGGAAAAAGTGAATACAAACACTCACACTGGCAGCGAACGGAGTTTTTTCTGTCGGCAATACTTCAATAGCCATCGAGTTCGGAAAATTGTCCTCAGCCAATACCGAGTGTACGGTCACTATGAAAATAGCGAGCCGCATCTGAGAAGGAGACTTAGCTGCTGGTTTTCACTTGGATTTAAAGGCACGAGATGAAATCAAATTGATGTTTTATCTTCGTTCGAAAACTAGGCAAGAAGTGCGATGAGGAACGTCAGACGGCAGAAAAAGCAGTAAGCACTATAAAAACAGGAGTTTCCTTTAAGGGGTAGGCGTGGTATGACGAAGAGAAATAGTGCTGCGAGGAAGAGGGGGAACGCGAGAGAGTACGTCGTACGCGAGAGGGCGCAGAAGCCACGTATGCCGCGATTAATAACGATAGCAGCATAGCAGGGCAAGGCTTAGCGCCGTTGCCTCGCACTTTTGAGTCACGACAATGCGGTGGCATCTGTGCAGGGCGACCTCTTCCTCTCACTCTAGGAGGGACCGCTATCGGGCACCTAATCTCGACCCATGGCATTAGCGTACTACACAGTAGCAATCAAACAAGCTCCAGAAATCTTAAACCAGCAAGAATCAAATCAAGCCTGCCACCGCAAGTGTTCTTGACATGATTCTACTACATTTAGTATTTATTCAGTCCAATTCTAAGGTCATCAGATTTCCACCTTCAAAGCTGAGCAAATCCGAACACACGGATTCACCTGTTTTGTGCAAACGCCACGGGATTAATGGCTACTTTCTTTTTGGCTTGTTTTTGTTTGTTAAAGGCAGTGATTACGATAAGTTTAAGAAGGGTTATAGGAAGACTGGTGGTGCTCAATGGTACGCCAGTGGCGAAAAAAGCGGAGAAATCCGTCAAGAAAACGCAAAACGGGACCCCTTTTTTGGCCGTTGGTTTTCACTCATGAACAGGTAACAGCTCAGAAAGCGGACGTATGAACGAGTTCCGCAACGCGTTTGGTGGCAGCATGCCAACCACGCTCCAATCGAGTTGCTCCAGTTGTGCCGCTGCTGGCAACGCAGCTCGTCCAAATCACCAACTAAACTAGTGGGCGGATCGCTTTTGGGGCGGAGTGCTTTCGAAGTCCTGCTCAGCAACCAGCGCACCTTTCGTCGTGAAAGCGCCACACTCGCTTCCTGGCAGCCAAGTAACTGCTTCGTGTGGTGCATATGCTTCCCGATGCGCTCCCTCTTTATCGTAATCGCTGCCTTTAACTGCTGTTTTTGGCCGCAGTTCGCCTTGCGAATGTTTCACAAGAATGCTGGGTTGTGAACAAAACTTTCGCCCCAGGCGGGACTCGAACCCGCACCTCTCGCTTTCCGGGCAAGTGCGCTACCAGTTACGCTACCGGGGCACCATTTCATCCCAACTCAGCTTTTCATGGTATACGTACCATAGCTTTCAGCACTCACACGTATAACGTGTTGAGCCGGTTAGCCGATATCGGCAATGACCGCGAGGCTGAAAGCTTTAGCAATGAATTTTGACTTGTTTTTGTTTGTTAACTGCTGTTTTGGCCGCAGTTCGCCTTGCGAATGTTTCACAAGAATGCTGGGTTGTGAACAAAACTTTCGCCCCAGACGGGACTAACCATGAAGAGCTGAGTTGGGATGAAATGGTGCCCCGGTAGCGTAACTGGTAGCGCACTTGCCCGGAAAGCGAGAGGTGCGGGTTCTAGTCCCGCCTGGGGCGAAAGTTTTGTTCACAACCCAGCATTCTTGTGAAACATTCGCAAGGCTGTTATCTTGCCATGATTCTTATGGCCTAAGTCTACGGTACGACGTACCGTTGGCGAGAGGTGCTGCGCCGGACACTGCTTTGTGGCAGAAAGCATAGCAAGGGCAGAACGAAAAAAATAGAAAAGAATGCATTTGTACCATCACTGATAAAAAAACAAGTCCAAATGGCCATTCCGGAAATATTGCGATCTTGGAGGATGGTTACCCGGTATTGAAGAAGCAAAACCAGGTTCTTCAATATCGAACCAATGTTTCACATGAATAAATTACTCCATATAAGACCATGAAGCAAAATGAAATATAAATGTTTGTTCATTCAAAAGCATATTTCATATTAATAGTAACGAGGACTAATACTCAGATGAGCAGAATGTGCGTGTTGCGCCGTTTTGAGAACGAATAATTATAACCACCGCAGACGAATTGGGTCATGGTACCCCCATTTGTCGCTACTCGGGTAAAATCCTATGCCGAATACAGTAATTCCGAGTGGTATCATAGGAGAAACTTCCGAATATCCGGTTGAATTGAATAAAATATCACTCACTACTTCAGCTAGGGGGGGGGGGTAATCGGAAAGTTTGCTGTAGCGTCTTTTACATATATATGTGAGAAGCCTGTGTGGTGCCACCACAGGACGTGTACGAATCCTTACTGTCTCAAACTCTGCCTCATGAGAAAAAAATTCTCGAAAAGGTAAACACATTAAAATATGGCTAAAAAACTGCTGTAGGGGAAATCTTTGGAAATTACGTAAACTGAAGCAAGCACTCCTTCACTGCCCCTGCCGTCTCCAGAATATGACGTCATCTGCCGTCACCGTCGAGCTCAACGAGGCTTACCGAAATCGCTCCGACCTGAAGCTGCTACACAATTTCCTCAGTGAATTAATTGTTGAATAGCTTCCCAGAGACATTAGCTGTGAATGTGCAAACCGCTTTTGACTAAATGCAGGCCACGCATCTCATGAATGCTACTCACACATGGACCAATTTATGATTGGGGAGCGTGAGTGGTTTCGATCCTTCTTCCTAATACAGATACGAAGTGACCATCGTCTGTTACAAGGGCGATTCTACTCCGACTGAGGTTTAGTGCGGCTGTTTCGCATACGTTCAAGGACTATCGCGCCCTACAGTTTTGGACGAAGATGCAGCTGCGAGACTTGCAAACGAGGAACTATCTTCTGAGTTGGATGAGATTAATGTCGTCCACCAAAGTCTCAAAACTGCAGGAGTCGCAGACAGCTGCTGCAGCGTTGTTCCGAATCACAATGCTCGTCACATTTCTGCTTCGACCCATGTCTTGCCGAGAAAACCCACGAATATAGATCGGAAATCATGTAGATACATTACTATACTAAGTAGCTGCTGATAGGAGAGAGCTGAGGACCACCTATTTCACAAGATCCAGACTTCCAAGCGGGCAATAAAAGAAGCTTGAAAAGAGCGAGACGAAGAATTGCGCAACATCGTCTAATGATTGCTTGTTTGAAGACCATAGATTGATCGCGTCGTTCTTCCATGTCAGGGATGGAACGAACACCAGCATGATTCTAATCCGCCCTCAAAAAGTCGGACTGAGCGTCGTTGAGAAAAAGAAATCCACCGAGAGTGAAGTGTTGCCTGTCCTTCCGTCAGAGGCGCCATGCAATACAGAGAGCCTCGAGGCAACGCTCCGAAAAACGAAG